AGAGCCATTGGAGAGGTAACACTGTGAAATTAATGCACAGGTTTATGAATTGCGGTTGTGATTTTAGGTCTAAAGCAGTTTTTTAGTTAAACAGTTGTTTTCAACTTTGGATCCGCTGTTATTTTAACTCTGCAAAAGAATATTTGGTTCAAATATATTCCTGTAAAAACAGGAATTCTCTTTTATCTTGGCCTTCGTTAAAGCTTACTCAGGTGGTTATGGTCAGTGGGTTTCTCTAAGAAGGCCACTGAAAAGACTTTGAGGTTTCACTTGACAGCTTTGGTAGAAAAGAACAAAACATAACCTATAATCTCTGTCTGACAAGCTGTCAGGGAACAGCTCCCAAACTTCCCTCTATTATACACGTTAGTTGTGTCAGCAAAAGTGCAAAACATATTCAACAATTTTTATTTTCAACTGTTTATTTATTTATTTATTTTTTCTTGTTGGGCAGGATGGTGGCACAACTGGTAGAGCTGTTTCTTCTTGGCTACAAGGTCGTTGGATCGAATCCTAGCCAGGAGGCTATACTGAGTGGAGTTTGCATGTTCTCTCCATGTTGCATGGGTTTTCTCCGGGTACTCCGGTTTCCTCCCACAGAACAAAAACATGCATGTTAGGCTGATTGGTAACTCCAAATTGTCCCTATGTGTGAGTGAGAGAGTGAATGGCTGTTTGTCTCGTTTTGTGTCCCTGTGACTGAGACCTGTCCAGAATGTCCCCCGCCTCTTACACAGTGACTGCTGGATATGGGCATCAATGACCCCTGTGACCCAAAACGAAAGAATTAGGTAAAAGATAATGGATGGATGGATAGATGTTCTTTACACAATGTTTTTAAACTCTGAATTGCTAAAAAGTCTATTTTCTTACAGCCACTTAACTAATAGATGGTCTAAACCATCTAATGATGAATATGAGTATTACAGAAATAAAAAAATGTTAAGTTTTAAACATATATATATATATATATATATATATATATATATATATATATATATACAGTATGTACAGTACATATCACAACAATAATATGTATCATTAGGCCCCTTCATGCTGGATGATGACAACACTGCAAAGCTGTACAGTAGTTCAACGCTATGTCGCAGTTCATTTTTCACAGAGTGGCTATATCTCAGGTTTTAAAAGTAAGACTGGACCTGATGCAATTGGCTGATTAATGGATGAGCCATGGATGGTTCATTTAAAATAATTTTAAATGTTTTTGCACCCGTGTGAAGCCCACAAGTGCAAGTGAAAGCTCCCTCCTTCAGCTGATCAGCTGATTTCCTTCTCCTCCACGCATATGTCTCTCCTGTTGCCTCGGCTTTGTAACTCTTTGCTGTCCAGCTGCACCGATCAACTTTTGTCTTCCAACTTAAACTTCAGTATATCACATCGTAAAATTGACATAATCACAAAATATAAAAAGTGTTTAAAGTTTTTTTTTTAAATTATTTTAGAACTTCTGTTTTCAGTTGTTACAGCGTAATTGACCAAGAAGTACATTTTGCTGTGTTGCTGCTGCGTGAAGAGTTAACCTTTGCTGTCCTGCTTCTCCACAATTTAAATTTTAAAAAGTGCTGTGACATTTTAAATAAACAATCCATGCTGTATGGATTGTTTATTTAAAATGTTACATTATTTAAATTTAAATTGTTTAGTGAAGGAGGGAGATTGGGAGTAACAGGTCATGTGTGATTGCAGCGTGGCACATGTCATGACAAAGTTTAATGAACTTGAACTGAAATTGAACTTGGACTACTGTATCCCTACTTCACAATTTTCACTCATCATGAGTGGGCATGGTCCCAATCACCCGCAATAAATGAGGGACTACTGTATAGTCTTGGTGAGGTTTTCAGACAAGTAATAAGAATGCAGCTGGCTCCACTTTAAATCTGGTATACATATATGTTTATATATAAAAAGCATGATTAGTCATGGATAATTTTGTGCATTAACAATACTTTTGTAGTCTGGTTGTAATGGTTTATCAGAATGGTGACAATGTGTCAAAGTCATAAGTGGAACGTCAGAAAGCAAATTGGCAATGGAGGTTGATTAACAAGAAATGGTGCTCACATGCAATAGTGTGGCTTAGTAATCAGAATTTGAAGCGACTGATCATGCAAGCCTCGTGCCTATGAGGCTATGCTGCCATCATTGACACCACATTCCTCTATGCTTCACCGGAGACCTTCATTCTGTAAGTTGTCACCGCAACCTCAATATGAGTACCATCACACACAATCAAAGACCTTGCCAAGAACCTGTAAGTATCACTCGCTTTCTGGCAGTTTATTTTATTTTAATTAGTATTATTATTATGGGTCAAACTGTGGTCATTGCCTAGCATGTAAGGAGTCTAACTTGCACATACAATGTGATGTTGTTGCTGAGATGCCATGGCCAGTAAAGCTTAAGCTGAAGCACTGCTCTGGTATTCCACTGTGCACATGTATGTAACATCTTCAACAAACCACTTGTGTTTCTTGAGCATTTTGTCATAAGAAATTTCAAGTGGCTGCACGGTGGCAGATAGGGACCTATCTGGGTGGAGTTTGCATGTTCTCTCCGTGCATGCGTGGGTTTTCTCCGGGTACTCTTTTTTTCCTCCCACAGAACAAAAACATGTATGTTACTCTGATTGGTAACTCTAAATTGTCCCTAGGTGTGAGTGAGAGTGAATGGTTGTTTGTCTCTGTTTTTTGATGTGTCCCTGTGATTAGGCCTGTCATGATAACAAATTTTACTGGGCAATTAATTGTCTCCGAAATTATTGCAATAAACAATAATATTGTTTGAAATTTGACAATAATTTGTAATTGTCAAATTTAAGAAGTAATGTTGGTTAATTTTTGTGTGTAGTACCTTTTTTGACCAGTGTATGGTAGTATAAGACTGTTTGGCCCAAAGGATGGCTAGTGAGGGAGCAAGCAGCGTGTCTCTTTAAGAAAAATGGGAGGGAGGCCCCTTGACGTGACATGGGCTGTCTCTCCTTCCTGTTTTTTGTTTCTCAAAATGGCGGATGCTCGGTGTGGTTTGAGCTTTTTAGCATAGCATTTTTCACACAAAGCTTTTAATAAAAAAATTGTAAATAAGTTGTCAGCTTCTTTTTGCAAAGAAAACTTTTTAGACGAAAGCACGAGTTTCAATCGTGAATTTTGGAGCTTCGACAAGATGGAGTTTTTTTGCCCGAGGTCGGCCTGTTAACTTGTAGCTTAGCTTCTCAGCTTAGCTGCTTTTAACGATCCAAAAACATGATTTTGGATGGTTAAGACAAATTTTAAAGAGAAAGGGAGGGGTCAGTGAAGAGTGTAGCTTTTTGTCATTCAGTGTCTTCAGTAGAAAGAGAGAGACACAAAGAAACTATAAAACCGATAAATGAAAATGAGGTTGATAAGTTTTATTTATCATGTGATTAAATGATTTATTGTTTATTGCGAGAGGCCTACATGTGATGGACTGGAGACCTGTCCAGGGTGTACCTCGCCTCTCGTACAGTGACTGCTGGACATGGGCACCAGTGACCCCCGTGAGCCGAAAAGGAAGATGCGGGTAAAGATAATGGATGGATGGATGTATGTATGGATGGATGGATGGATGGATGGATGGATGGATGGATGGATGGATGGATTTTCAAATAGTGGTCAGTGGTGGTTAAGAGTAATTTTAGCATGGAGTCAATGTGTCATTCCATCATGTGTTATATTTGAATCTGACTGCTTGTACATATTAATCTTTAAGTCAGACTTTCCAGTTAAAATGTGACACCTTCATTACTTCATGAGTTTCCATACTCTGCAACAGGCTTATCTTGTACCATACCCCACCCCACCCCACCCCCCACCCACACACACACACACACACACACACACACACACACACACTCACTGATCACCGTGGTGGGAAGCAAAGTGAAACAGGGTGACCGTAAAAACAGAATGGCCTTCACTTAGTGTTCTCTGCATCCCCCACTCCCATTCTGTTTTATACACCTATTCCTCTTCTTTTTTCATTTATTTTATTATTTTTTTGTCTGTACCATGAATAAATTTAGTCTGTCCCGGACATGAAAATGTCAAATACCTAAAATACACCTAGGCTAAATAGCATATTAATTTTTAATGCCCGCTCATCCTATGCTGCTATTCTCATATCAGGCCTGTCTGCCAACAGCTGTTGCTGGCTCTGTAGCTGGGAATTTATCATCCATCTAGCTAAAGGATGGGAGGGGGGGTAGATAAAAAAAGAGATGGGAGAGACATTGTTCAGACGATGGGAGAAAAGGGGAGGAACAGACCTGTGTTTTCATGGATTCCTACCCTGCATTTAAATGCTCGCAACTTTACAACATTCTTACAATGCTATACGAGTGAGATTAAATTTCACTAATGCCAAACATAAACTGTTCAGGATTCTTTCCTTTTTTACTTGTTTCTTTTATTTTTGTAGTGTGTTGCAGGTTGACCTTCGTTATACATTAAAAAACAAAATAAGGAGAAGAGTTGTGACATTGACACCGGAGGTAGTGACATTGGGGAGAGCGGCAGAGGGAGACGAGATCCACTGAAGCAATGTGCCAGTGTGGGTGTTGAATGCCACCCATGTGCGTTTTTAGGTGGCATGTGGTGGATGATTATCATAGATTATCACAATCCAGATTGTTACAAGTTCTGTCTGCGCACATAGCAGCAGTGTACTGTAGCTGTGTGACTGTGTGTGTGTGTGTTTTGGTTTAAGACAGTGCCTTTGGGGATAAGACTAAATGGTGGGTGAATGACGAACAGTTGGAATGTGTGAATGTATGTGTGCATTTAGCTGTGTGTATATGTGTCTTGTTCTTTTATCCATACAGTGTGACAAAGCAAATAACAAACTGAGTTTATGAAAAGAGAGAGAGAAAAAAGGGAAGTTAAAGAAATATTTTTGCTAAGTTCAATTGCATGAAGTGATAATGTACCTTAATACGCCACCTGCATACTGGTGCACAACCTGTTGGGATCAAGAGGCCTCTCTCCGTCACTGCTCACTGCCTGCTGCTTACTGGAACGGCCACCTAGAGGGAGACACAGAGGAGGGGAACGATTAGAAGAGGTGATAATGAAATATAGAGAGAGGTGAGGAGGGAGACGGACAGGAGATGGAGCGCTGGGAAGAAGACAGTGATGGGTTGAAAGGGAGACAAGTATGAAGTGGTGGGGAGGGGGATCGATGTCAAGATGGAAATCTAACAAATTCAGTAAGCGCTGCTTCAGAGGTCAAGGAAACGCGGCAGAAAAAGGTTAAAGATGAAATCAAAGCCGGTGTGCTGCGGTGCCCGGAGGCACAGCTGAAAATCTATCCCTCCAAGGCAAGGCCACCGCTGACGCGAGGCAGACAAGAAGCTAAATACTGCATGCCACTCGGGGATCTTTCATTTTCCACCGATCAATAAGGGCTTATATTTATCAGGGCCTCCGAGCCGTTGCCACGTCTGACAACCTCCACTTCATTTTTGCACTCCTCCCTGCCTTTTTTCTCCCTCCAGCTCCTCCTCTTTTTTCCCTCATCCTCACCCTCGCACACTAAATTGAGACCCATCGACCATGAAAAGGGGCAGAGACCCTGGATTGCCATTAACCCCCCTCGTGTCACTAGACTAGTCTAACACACACACTGTCAGACACACATACACAAATGCCCTGGAGATACAATTCAGTTAAAGGTCTGCCTCTGCCCTCTTTAAAGAAACATGCCATATCATTATGGCCTTGGCAGAGACACCAGCACCAGGGTCTTTTGTTCCTCCAGCAGCCCTCATCATCAAAACACATACGTTCTCCCTCTTAAACATTTAGGCAAGTCCAAAAATACTAGGATTTCCATTACTTCATATACTTGTTTGACAGATTTTTATCAAATAAGCAAAATGTCAAACCCTAAATTTGGAGCATTATGAGAAGCAGAAGACTGGGTTTAAGGGTCTGTGTTAAAGTAACTGGCTGCCTAATCATCTGCACAACAATATTTGCTGTGAGGCATTCTAAATAGATTATCGCTAGTCCATCTGTGTCATCATTGATTTATAAGGCATTAAGCTGCTTGGGGAAGAGATAGGGCCTCGCCATCTTTACTGTTAAAGGGGCTTCTTGTTAAATTCAGGGGCATGGCAGTGGAACAACTGTGGAGCCTGTCTAACCTCCCCTTTAATCGTTAGGCAAGAGGAAGTGAAAATAGGACGGGCCTATCTATTTTTTTTTTTATTATTATTATTTTTTTGTTCCCAAATAGGGAAGTATGAATCCAAATTTTCAGCATCTTTTTGTTTGGCAATACAAAGAGATTGGGAGGAGGGGAGGAAGTACAGAAAAAAAAATAAAGAGCGAAACAAATAGCACACACAAACACACACATGCACATACACACATGCAGAAAAAAAAATAAAAACAAGGGACATCATTAACATATGAATGCTATATGCAAATGGTAAGAAGAGAGCAGATGTTGTTGCATTTAATTGACCTATATGTGAATTGCATCCAAACCTTTCAGTGTGTTTTCTGGGCCCGCTGAGTACAGTTTTGACTGGCTTCCTAGAACCACTGAACGTGCAAGCAGGGTGTGCAGTGGTTTCATCAGTGTTTAAACATAAAGAGAAAGATGATTTAACATTCAACTAACTAGAATGAAAGAAAAAAAAGAAAAGAAAGAGCTTAAAAATCTCTGGGCAGATGTCTTTAAACCAAATAAAGTTCAATTGGTGTTTAATTCGCTGGTAAATCGCACTGATAAGGTGTCAAACTGATCCGCCTTTTTCTGTCCTAACAGGAAGTGGTTTAAAATAACTAAGTACATTTATGCTATTTTATATTCCCCAACAGTTAAGAGAGATATATTGCATTACCTATACAAAAAGAGTCCAAAGAGCCTATAATACAGTTCCATTTCAAGCACTCAGCACCGGATAACAGAAGTGAAACAGTGAAAATTTGATATTAAAGTTTCAGATTGAGAGGAAGGCTGTATGCACACCTTTTATTGGCTGGCCTCTACTGAGACCCATAAAATCATTTCTCTGAGTGGTCTTACAGATCTGCTCCATGTGAGCTTTTTTTCACTTTGCAGACACATTTACTAAAGATGTTTTCTGTTCTTCCCACTTCAGTGGCTTTTTACAGGAAATAACTGCTAGCTACAAATGTTGATATCACCGAGATTGGGTGAGGCCCTTTCAGAACTTGGAGTTCTGTTTGAAAGATAATGTTTTTGTGTGTGTTCGTCTTTAGTATGACATATCAACTATGAAACTATTCAGCTGGAATAAATTATGTCAAATCTATATGAGAAAATTACTGTAGTTTTGCTGACAATTAAAAACACTATATTATGTTAATGAAGTTGTGTAAAACATGATCGTTCCAACGTTGTGTGCATTTGCTTGACAACAAGAGGGTTGAAGAAACTGTAAACAAGGACGGGAAATAGTATATGTTGGATTTCTTTCCACTTCAATTTCAACCACACAAACATGCACACACATGCAAACAACAATACAGTGTAAAAAATGGTTTAAAAGTCAACACCATGACAAAAAAAAAAACTTGTAGCTTCAGGTTTCAAAAACTGATTCTGTTCATTTTTATTGTTAGCTTAAACGAATAGGTAAGTTTCATCTCACTGTGTGATAATGTAGCCCTAAATGGTACTCTCTCTTGACTCAAGAGGTTAATTCCATTGAGCGTAGTACTTTCTATAGTACCACAGTACCAGATAGTACTTTCTATAGTACCTTAGTACTCTCTCTCTCTCTCTCTTTATCAGACTCTCTGATAAAGATGATGTCACTGGACCAATCGTCGTAATGAAACCGTCCAGAGGACCTTTTTTTTTTTTTTTCATTTACCCTTTATTTATACAGGTAGTTTCATTGAGCCATGAGAACTCATGTTCAAGAGTGACCTGTTTAGGGAGAAGATGGGGGTTAAGGGCCTTGCTCATGGGACCAGGGTGGGGCGAATGAGGGTGGGGGCAAGTGTGGGTGCTTCACCTACCCCACCCACATTTTTTTTATGTTGTCGGTACCAGGGCTTGAACCGGCGATCTTCCGATTACAGGCCCACCTTCTCTAACCTCTGCGCCACCACTGGTGCATCAGGTTCTGTTGGACCTGATTTAACTATGTTGGATTTTTCTACATGGATTATTGAGCATGAACTTTGATGTTTTGAACCACTTTGGCTATGGTTGCCTCAGAGGAGTTGACGTGAGAGGGTGGACTCCAGAACCATCTTATCACCATTAAACTGGTTGGTCCATTATGAGAGTAAGCCACTTATGGGGCTGAGTTTGTTGTGGCTCCTTAGACTGATGAAGTCCTTTGGATGAAGGATGAAACATTCCCCCCTCCCCCAAAAAAAATTAAAAATAAAAAAAAAACTCCAAAGGAACTGACTTAACTTTGTTGGATTTTTTTAACCTGGATTACTGAGCATAAACTTTGATGTACCAAAGAGCTTTTTCTGAAAAACTATTTTGTGAAATAGCCAAAACGACAGGTCCCTCTAACTCTACCACTGAGCAGGTCATGTAAAGGAAGCCTGCATTGTGGAAGCAGAGAAAGACCGGAGTACACCTCGGCAATGTTGACATGAAGAACAGAGAAATGTCAACAATGTTCTGTTCTAAACCAAAGGAACAACCTTTGTCATGTCTTTTTTTTAAGTCTTGCTTAAAAACCCATTTGTATTCCCTGGCTTTAGACATAGTGTGGTTTGTTTTTAACCTGTTTGTATTCTACAACATTAGCCATTTTGTTATTATCTTCTTCCATTCGGATCTATGTATTTTTATATTATTTTATTATATTTTTTGCTGTGTGCTTTGCTTGTTTGCTTCTGCTGTACAGAACTTTGGTTGGCCTTGTTGCTATTTTAAGTGCTCTATAAGTAAAATGGTATGGTATAGTATGGTATGATATGTCTACATCGCACCCATGAGCCACACTGTGCTTCCATTTTAATATTCCAATGGTTACAGATCTGTTACGACATCACTTGGTGGATCAGAGGTGTAAAAGTGGCTGGTTGACTTTAACGCTCCATGCTGCCTCAGTCTTTGCATGAGTCACACAGAGACCGACAGGATTTAAAATCCTTTGTGAAAGTGGGTAATGTTGGAATAGACATCGAAGTAAATAGAAGGCATGGTTCATTGGAACTTCAATGAATATTTTTTCAACTTGTCATTTATTACTACTCTTTCATCTTTTGATTTTGCCTTCCACTTGCAATTTTATTTTGTTTTCACTTTGGTTTCAAATGCAGGTTCAAGTACAGAGTATTGGAAATCGTGTACGTGGTTTTGGTAAATGTTTAAAACTAAGGTTGGGGTAACGAATTCTACATTTATTTTTAGTTTTGGTCTCATAATTTTCATGAATCCTAATTAAACACAAAACAGAAGGCTTATTATCTGTGAATATGGAGTTACTGATGCACTTTTTCCTATGACACTAGGCTGGATTTTCCATTTCACAACAGCAAAACTTTCCATCCCATAGTGAAACTAGTTGTAACCATTTTGGGACAAATTTTCTACCATTGTTTCAACCACTGAAATTTATTCCTTCCTGTTCAGCCATATTCAGATCTAATTTCAAACTTTATTTATTTATTTATTTATTTTTTTTGCTGGTTTGTTTTTAATTACTTTATTGCTTAAGACCCATTAGTTGACATTTTATCTCTAACAATCACAACTATCTTAACTTCCTCAGTGCTTTTCACTCTCAGTTAAACAGAAAAGCACAGTGGAAGTAAAATTACCAGTTGTTAACTTTTCAATGTCTGTGTGGCTTCACTCTGAAACACATAGATGCTATTTTCATCTGACTCTTTGTCCCTTTTGCTTTTTGGTCTTTTTCTTTTCCCACTTTTGTTAGTCTTATCCATTTTAAAGCCATCCACCCTCTACACACAGACTCCCCCCCCCCCCCCACGCACACACACACACACCTTCAATCCCATTCCAAAATGCACACACACATGCACATAGCTACACACACACAGACACACACAC